AGCATAATCTCGTCGTAGAGTATCTGTACGAATCTTCATTACGAACGGATTCAATGAAGGCGCTCTACGAATTTCGAATTTACGTTCGTAGCTATTCGGATTCTATGATAGCACTTTCGTAGATTTCACGAAAATCGAAGCTACGATGGATTCTGTGATAGCCCTGATTAGTGAAAAGGTGTGCATGTATTGTCATGGCAGTATTGCCCGGTGTAAACCCAAAATTAGTTTGCTCTGATGTGGTTACGTCGAGTTACGCACAAGGTTGCACATTAGGTCCATTCCTTATCTTTTCGGACTAAAATCTGAAAAGTGTCAAAATGCAAGAGCTTAAGCAAAATGCGCCCACTAAAAGATAATAACAGGAAAAAGTAAAGAAAAAGGCAAAAAACCAAATTTTTAGTCCAAAGAATGGCAGCAACAAAACTAACGTCAAATAAGAATAGAAATTATGTACAAAACACATTCACACAAGCACAAGCACAATAAACATTTGGTTGGTTGGTTGGTTGGTTGGTTGGTAGAAGCGTCGCCGGGGTATGTTCCCAGGACCCAATTAGTGCTGAAAGCACAATTTTGATACGCTTTCTCTGGGACCCCTGATTTTATCTGCTTTCATGATTCGTTGGGTTCGTCAAACCATTTAGATTTACCAATGAATCTATTTAGGTTAGTAATGGTGAATTTGAAAATTTCCCAAAGATTTTGGATGGAAAAACTCCCGAGTGTGATCTGCCTTATTTGTGCCAATGCTGGGCACTCGCAAAGATAGTGAAGGACTGTTTCCTTACTTCCCACAAGATTACAGCTACGGCACCGAGGGTTATACGGAAGGCCCATTCTAGCTGCATGTTCACCAATGGGCCAATGTCCCGTTATCGTGGCTATTAATTTGACTATATCTTTCCTCGACCTCTTGAGAAGTTCTTCTGTCTTTGGCTTGTCCTAGTGCGGCCATATGTACCTTGCAGTTTTGCAGGTTTGAAGGTTGTTCCAACGTGTATCAGCCATACGTGTGAATTGCAGACGCAGTTCCCTTTTGATGAGTCCGAGTGGACAATTTATAGTTTCTGCTTCGGATTCATCCAAAGATGCTTCGCCCTTAGCCAACTCGTCAGCCCTCAGATTTCCGTGTATGTTCCTATGGCCGGGAACCCAGCCACCGAGCTTAACGCACATTTGCAATCTCTGACTGTTTTGGATTTTGTTACCGGTGAGGCAAGTACCAGAAGTGCCGCTTGGCTATCTGAGAAAATGTATGCTTTTTGTACACCTACGCAGTTCCTCTCTAGTGCTTTACAGGCCCTTACGATGCCCAGTACTTCCGCTTGGAAGATGCTAGCAAAGTCAGGTAGTCGAAACGACAGAGAGACATTCAGCGTTTCAGAGAACACCCCCGCACCCACACCGCAGTCCATTTTGGACCCGCCAGTATAGATTTCAGTGGAATTCTCCTCGACTATCCTGCGCCTACTCCAATCCCGTCTTGAAGGAAACTTCACCTGAAAGCTTTTCCTGAAATCTGTCGTAGGAGGTATATAATCTGATTGTTTCCCTGATTCGATAAGCTTGTCAAGAATACCACTATGGCCGTGCTGCAGCGCCCTCCAGCAGCCTGACTCTTTGAGTCTGACTGCCGCAGATGCAGCAGTTTCGCGGATATAGAGTTCTATGGGTAGTTGATGCAGGATTACATTAAGCGCACCAGTTGGACACGACTTAATTGCCCCTGTAGCACCTGCACAAGCTGCTCTTTGTATACTGCCTAATTTCCTGACGTTGTATTGTTTATCTAGTGCTGGCCACCAAACTAACGCTGCATACTTTGGTATTGGTCGTATGATAGCCGTGTACATCCAGAGGACAAGCTTTGTCTTCAATCCACAGTTCCTACTGAATATTCTTTTACATGTATAATAAGTTGTGTAGGCTCTCTCAACCCGCCTCTCTATATTTGTCTTCCAGCTCAGCTTGGTGTCTAATACGACACCCAAGTATTTAGCCTCGAAGGGCAATGTGAGAGACGTTCCATTAAGGGAGGGAAGCATGAATTGTGGTATTTTTGTTTTATTGGTGAACAGCATCAGTTCCGTCTTGCTAGGGTTGACACCCAGTCCACTTTTTGTAGCCCAGGTGTTTAGCCGGAGCAAAGCTCCCTCTAGGATTTCACTAATTGTTGACGGGAAGAGACCTGCTACCGCCACCACTACATCATCTGCATATGCTACTACTTTCACTCCACCTTTGTTGAGATCCAATAGAATGTCGTTCAGTACCACCACCCATAGTAGCGGATCCAGAACTCCCCCTTGGGGAGTGCCTCTATGTGCATAACGGGATAGCGTGACTGAGCCAATGGTTGAAATTATGATTCTGTTTCTGAGCATTTGTTCGATCCACTCGCATATGTGGTCAGATATTCCCACCTTCATAAGATATCGAACAATTCCTTCGACTGTTATGTTATTGAAGGCCCCCTCTATGTCGAGGAATGCCGCCAAAGTGTACTGCTTTTAATGGAGTGATTTTTCTATGGTGCCCACGACTTCATGAAGGGCAATTTCAGTTGACCTTACTTACTCACTTACTATGTCCATTATTTTTTGTCTCCTTCCATTTTCAATTCACTTTTTTACTTTTTAGATTATTACCACTTTTTGTGTATTCTTTAATTTCCGTTAATTTAAATTTAATTGAGTTTGACACTTTTCAAGATTTTGCTAGCAAAAATTCTTCTGGCTAAATCTGACTACTTCGGACTGAAGAGAGTCACTCTCACTGAGTGTTGCTCTCTCATTTTTGCTGTCATTTTCGAGTTAAGGAACGCTTTTTGGACTAAATCTGACTACTTCGGACTTTTTCTGACTATGTCTGGGAGATAAGGAACGCAACTATTGGTTGTGGTTTTTATGGTTATTGCCAAACGAAATGAAAATTGCAGATGTACACATCGTGCAAAACTTTATATTTTTAATAATATTGAATATGCAATTAAGAGTGCCCTAAACTTAGAAGCTCCTAAAACATAAATTCAGTCCTCTGTCATTCGGTATCACTGCAATTTTTGTGTATAAAAATAATAACCTACAATTTTGTGTATGGCAACACTAATTTTACAGCAGTTTGACCAAGGCGCATCAATTAGACTGCGTTTATACACGAAAACTTTTGTCGCCGCGATTTTTCACATTCCCTTTTGGTGTTGCTCGTTTCATTTACACACGGAGATTTGTGTGTATGCAATTGTTGTTGTCAGCTGTGAACAGCGGTTCAATTTACACAGGCGAACGAGAGCACAAAGCGTGTTGCCCGAGCACGAGCAACTCGGTGCCCCTCTCCTTTCCTCGTCCCGCTCTCTCCAACAAACGTCGAGTTGCGGCAACAAAAATCGCCGTGTGTAAATGAGCACTTACCATGATGCAATAATACAAGGTGATATCGGTTGGCAACTTCTCGCTCTAATTCCGCCATATTGACTGCCTTAGCTGAAACAGTGTTACTTCTTTAACAATTCTTTGCGTAATAATATGGTTGACTTTTTTTTTTTTTTTCTCAGTATACACATTTTGTTTTCTCAAAAAGGTATTATATCTTATTTTATTTCATTTCATTGCGAATATACTATAAAAAAGCAAATTTTGTTTAGAAGAAAATATGAAATATATATAATATATTTTCCCCCCAAATGGGGATTAATTTCTTCCCCTTTTTCTTCTCATTCTACTGAGCTAAGGCAGTGTCAAATCGAGCTGTCACAGCTGATACCACCTTGTTTTATTGCATCATGATCAATTACAGGTGATAGCGATAGAAGCTATGCTTCTTCTTATGAGCACGCTTGTGTCAAATTATCATCTGTTTTGCTTTGTTTACATATCCGTGTATACATACACATATACGCAAATATATACCCTGCAAACAAATGCTCCCGAAATCTTTAAGAGTATAGGAAATTTGTTACGATTCTTTTAGGAATCTTTAAAGAAAAACATATGAAGCGGTTGACAAGAATTAGTAAAGAAATTTCTGTACGATTTCTTAAAGAAAATTCTTAAAAAAAAATTGTGAAACCTTTCAGAATTCTATGAAATCCTGGTATGCAGGGTATACATATACATACGAATATGAATAGATAAAGAAGATGTTGATGACACAAGGAGTTCATACCAACGGTAAATGTTGTTTTTGTACGATTGCTACAACCTGAATCATGAGTTTGACCAAACAAAATTAGTCCCCTTTCAGACACGTCAAGTCTTGCTTTCAAGTCTGCTCGTTCGTAGGCGAAGGAGGTGAGAAGAGAGGGGAAGAGTACAGATACCTCCGTACCGTCAATTCGTTGCAAGTTTTCTTGTCTCTTTTGATCTTTTCGTTGCTTCCCATTTAAAGAACCAAGGACTTGAATTCAATTAAAATTGACGCGTGTGGAAGCAAATAGAAAACACAAAAGAGAATGCGAAAAAAATTGCTTTCAAGACTTGACGTGTCTGAAAGGAGACTTAGTTTGCTGTGAGAGTCGCCAAACTTGCTCTCTCCGAGTTTGCTGCAACAACAATTGCACGCAGGCTGACAAACAAAATGTCTGCATTACACTTGCTACACACGACGAACGTGTGCACGCACATGTGCGCCAACATGCTCGCTGTCGTTTGCCACAGACGGTGAGCGGCACATATGTGATTTTGTCCTGATAGCGTAAAGATGGGTAGCAAAGACGCGGGTGATGAAATTCAAATGCTTATGACTTAGGTTTTTTTATTTATGTGTTACTTAAATTTATTTATATTTCACTTCTATGTATGCACATACATATACATATAGTAATTTAGTCTCATTTATCAAAAATCCACTAATGTACATGGCTTGGCTGCACTTATCCGCCGATGTGCACACTGCAAGCATCAACACCATGATTCAATAATACAAGGTTGGATAACCTGGCAGTTGTCTCGCTCCCGCATTCTGCCTTAGCCTATGTTGCTTTCTTTTTTGATTTATAGAAACTACTACTAAAATACAAGGGGAAATATTGTGTTCGTATAAAAAGTTCAACAGGCAACACTGCCGATATTTTCATCGATTGTTTTGTGGAAATTCATTGTCTTATTACGCAAATTCAAGTAAGGTTGCCAAAAAAATCTAAAATAATGGAAATATTTTGAATTAAAACAATAATTTACATATGTATTTCTTTGCAGAGTCTCTTATTCACATTTCGTATTAAAGAACTAGAGTTTTACAAGACGTAAAGTTTTGCATATTTACAAGTAAGTATACCACACCATAAAAGTGAAAGTGCAAATATTAATAAATTGTGCAAATATTAATAATTTGTGTGCCCGTCTACATTCGCTGGTGCTGCGATTTTTATATACTTCCAGGATTCTAATCTGATCGCAGGTACAACTTTTTCCTTACCGCAAGCTCAACATCATCGCAGCGCAACCCACTTTTAGCGCAAGGCCTTTACAATATCGCACACCGTGTTCAAAAGAGTCACAACTCAAATAATAAGTTTGTAAGAAAATGCGAAAAACTATTTCTTAGCACATGGTAATCACACGTACAAGGGCGACTTTACCTTAGATGTTTTTTTTTAAACAAATTATAAAAAAAAATTTTCTGCAGCTTTTGCTGAAAGTTAAATAGAAGCTCTGTGCATAATTTCAAAAGTTACAAATTTTGAGTTGTGACTCTTTTGAAGACGGTGTGCGATATACTGGTGTTTTGTATGTAAGTTTTAATAAGTGGAAAAAGTCTAGTGTACTAACCGTTCATCTATAGAAAACCCAAAAAAAGTACAAAACGTTAAAATTAAATTTTAACTTGTAACGTAGCTTCGCCTACGCTACAATAAGATATTCGACACCACCCTAGCATGCGCCTTACAACTGCACATAGGTACAAATATATAAACATACATACATACATACTATTAAAGGCATTTGCACCGCTCGACTTGTTCTTACTGAATACAGGTAACAAAAACACTTTTGAGAAAAATGGCAGGGGCTCAGTCGTTGACACTGCATTTTGCACCCAATCACTGGCACCAAAAAACCACTTGGAAGATTAGTGACATTTATACCCAGAGTGATCATTTAGCGATTTTAATTGAAATCTGTGATGTAAGAAACACTTCTAGCAGATGTTTCAAAAAGTATGGTAAAGGATGGTATAAAGAATCGTTCGACCCAAATATGTTTAAACTAGTACTGGATGGTATCAGAGACGTTAGTGAAACACCAGATAATGCGGAAGCTCTTTCAGAAAAGCTCTCAAAAGCTGTTATCAGGGCATGTGATGCGTCAATGAGCAAAAAGGGCAACAAAATTACAAGAAAAACCCGCTTTCTGGTGGACACCGGAAATAGCTGAGCTTCGATCTGAATGCAATAAAGCCAGAAGAAAATGTCAGCGAATAAGAACGGACGCCCAAAGAGACCATTTTAAATCTTTACGGAAACGGTTAAAGGTTGCAATTAAAAATAGCAAGAAAGCGTGTTTTAAAGACTTGTGTAACGAAATTGATGAATACCCGTGGGGCGGTGCCTACAAAGTCGTTATGAAAAAATTCAACAGTAGCCAAATGCAGACACCTACTTGCCCGGTACTACTTAAAAAAATAGTAGAAACACTGTTCCCGAAAGCGGAAACTAGCCCAGGGCCTGTACCAAGTGAAACACATACAAATGTTTACTATCCGCCACTTGAGCCTGATGAAATCAAATGCGCGGCCAAACGGCTAAAGAACAATAAATCTCCAGGTCCTGATGGTATTCCCAACATTGCTATTAAAACTGCAGTTGACGACTCTCCGTCAGCGTTTTTAAAAGTGTTCGACTCCTGTCTTCGTAGCGGAGTATTCCCGAATACGTGGAAGAAGCAAAGATTAGTCTTACTTCCAAAGCCCAATAAACCACAAGGTGAACCTAGTTCTTATAGACCCCTATGTATGTTGGATTCCTTAGGTAAGTTACTCGAACGCATCGTTTGCAATCGCTTGTGGCAGCATATCGATACCAAAGAATGTCTGTCAGACACTCAATTCGGGTTTCGAAAGGGTAGGTCAACTGTCGATGCTATTCGCAACGTTACCGACATTGCCGAAGAAGCTATTAAGGGTAAGCGTTGAAAAAATGGGTCCAAGGAATATTTTGCTGTAGTCACCCTAGATGTAAAAAATTCTTTTAACTCGTTGAGCTGGTCGCACATTATAAATGCGTTAAAAATTATTCATACACC